CTTCATGGCTCTACTTGTATCAGAACTTGTACTCACGCACGGACGCACACAAACAACCGCGAACTGCAATATGAACTCCGCTCGCTCCGCAGCTCGTCGGACGAGCATCGTCCAAAACCCTGGGCTCCCATGAGCCAAATAACGAGGAAGGCGGTAGTCTTCTCTGTACATGTATCTTCATCTTCATCTTCGCGGATTTATGTGTTCTCTTCTACGCACGAGGGATGAAGTCCGGGATAAAGCCTAGGGCGAACCGCTGATGAAGTTTTACCTATCTAGGGAAATTTCATCTCGATGGGGTGTAGTTGATCATGAGTTACTTTCCGAGAACCTACCCGTCACTGTCGAGGTATCTCGAGGATGAATGGAGCTGTCTCGAGATTCCACTGAGATTAAAAAAAGAGGGATTCGAATGCATATCGCCAGTTGAAGTGAGTGACGATATATTGGTCTCGCGAGATAACGCGATCCATTATTTTTGTTAAAATTCTAATTATCCGTATTCTACACCTGGGAGCATAAATTGTTGTTGGATATTGCAGTTGGTCGTAGGGCTTACTCTAAGCAAAGTTGAGAGAGGAATTCAAGTAGAGAGGAATCTGATTAAATTTTGCTGAGGATTGAATCGTATACTGTAGACTATAAATAATTCTATCACTCCGTGATGTGGTATTCGCTTCGGGGTATCGCTGACAGTAACAGCGTCAACATCGAATGCCCGATGTGCCAGGTTGAAGCAATGGGCGCATTAGGGGAACCGATGGTTGTGTTATTTTATTCGCCATGGAATAAGAAATGCATGAACAGACTGAACGATCTCGTCAGAGTGGGAAAAGAACTGCGGGTGAGGTCTTGCGCTATTCTAATGTCTTGCGATGGTCGCGTTGTCAGGAGCTCGTTGTGTATGAATCGAAGAAAGTGCGTGTTGTCTTTGTGAATGTGGAGTCGATCGACTCCGAAATTGCTTCTGTCGACGAGTCTAGCAAGTTCATCTCCGATAACCATCTAGAAGGACGCTTATTGCCCGTGATCAAGCTGTGCAGGGCTTCAGAAGTATTCTTCTACGAAGGAACGTTGACATCACTGATGAGCGTGAGAGATTGGGTTGTGGACAACTGTTCTGGTGACAGTCACCAGGTAAGGGGATCATCGTGTTTATTTTCTGCCAGAGCGAGTTTGAGCATATGTGAAAACAAAATGAGTGCCATGACGATCACAGCATATGTTGAAGAATAGACGATAATGTTCAGGGAAGCACCAGATAAAACAATAATCATTTCGCCCAATCGCGTCTTGAAACATAACTCTGCATATACTATATGCAGCATAATAAATGAATTAGAGAATTGGTCTTATCACGATCGCTATACCTCAAAACAGTGAGGCTGACGATAACTTGTCACATACCAGTGAATAACCATTAAAATAGCTGTACCTGCCAGCACAGCGTTGCTCTCCTTATGCGAAATACACGTTTGTGGTCGTTTCGTGGCGAAGAAATGCGATACGAATGACTAACATTCGTGCGCGCGCGTGCTGCTGAGAAACTTGAATGCAATAGTACTTCAGAGCGTATTCAGTACGGATGCCAAGCTGAGCGGAAAGGAAGTACAACCGAATATCAGTGAGAGCTTAAGTCTCCGTTGAGGAAGATGAACTCCTCGCGTAGGTGCGCGCAAAATCGCGATGACGTCGAAATTGATTTATTCAATACCGTTCGTATCATCCGCCGACGGAGACAGCACGAGTTTGGTGACTGTGCGCGACCACAGTGTCACCCACAGGATGGCGCAAGTGGGTGCGGTGACGTTGAGCATGTGGTTCAAATGTGACTCGGGGAAAAGTAGGCTGGGTGCGGGAGAGAACTGTCGAACTATAATCTTACCAAAGCAATGATGGTGTTAATAATCTGAGCCCTCACGACGAAAGGAGATTTTCACTTCCGGTCGCAACCAAGAACAGTGCGAACTAAACTGTTATGCAAAATACTCTTTTCAAGATGCCTCGAATTGATAGTAAGTATCAATGACTTTTGAGAAGCACAATGTTAATAATAATAGGAGTGAAAAATTTCTAAGGATAACGAGATATGAGAATGAGGATAGAAAAAACATGTATACATAATGATTGAAAACAAAGAGGAATATGCGGAATTCAGCTTCTTGTCTCCAACCATTGTGAATCATATTATCTGCCAGCTCAACTGCCCCCATGCAGTTACACAACCACAGACAGTCCTTCTAGCTCGGTACGCTAATTTCGGTACTTCAACCTTTTCGAGACTAGCTGTTACAGTGGACAGGCGAGTAAAACAGTCTAATCGAAATATATATAGTATTCGAGAACTCACAATTTCCCGGCCTCAGCGTCGCCCGATACTCCATTGGTTGTCGTATACCCTGGGCAGAAGCCACGACATACTGGAAGGCTCCAGTGCGGAGTTCCCCACTTCTAGAGAGGTGAATACAGCTTTCTCCGAATGATGCTTTTAGTGTGAAAAAATACGCACACGGCCAACTACATGTGTTGGTGACGAAATGAGAATTCTGAGGAAATTTTGGGAGATTCGTATTGGTGTCTATACATTTCTACCCGAACTCGTATATGAACTCCTTTAGCTCGAGGAAACTGCTAAGCTCAGTTGAAGAAAGTGAACATATATTCCAATTTGTACGATTGCCGCAGTCTGAGATTCCCTGGATGGCAATCGGTGTTCTGTTCGCCTGGCAAACAGCCGATGTCAGATGCCAAAGTCGGCATGGGTTCATTTAGTATGTCATTTCGACACTGAACGATCTACTCACAAGTGGTATTGGAACGGCGAGATGGACAACCATCGTGACGGTGGGAAGCATTTCCACGCACTGAATGTGAGGCTCGTGAGGTTTTGCTTATTGCAACTGTTGCAATATGGAATTAACAGTTTCTTCGGATGGAACGCAAAATTGATTTTTTCGCAACAAGAGACAAAGATGCTACAGCAAGACTTTTGTTGTACGAAAAGCTCGGCTCTGCCGCTCTCGCAGATTGATGCCATCACGCAATAGTACTCGCAGGTCAGTAATGCACTCGTACAGTCGGTGTTCTCGAAAAAGGATGCAAGTATCGCTGCTGTTGGGGAAATATCTGACCTGAAGATATTCCCCAGGCAACTCGACATCACAGAGATCAGTAAAGAGGTGAGAACTATGCACTGACCTATAACATAGGCAAACACGAGCGACTGGCTCGACATGTTGCGTTATGTACTCACCCCGATGGGAACATGAACGTGTCACTGGTGATATATCAAATCATATCACTCGAAAGTAGCTTGTTATTCATATCAGTGTTACAGAGCACCTCCTAGTGAGTTACTGTGATTGTTATATAGAGTAGACGTGGAGTTATATCGTTTATTGACGGCTTTGGCGCTTCCCTGTATCTACGTGCTTGGTCGGAAGCTCGTACTAATCTCAGTTTCGAAGGGGAAGACAGCAGTTGAACATGGGATGATCTGGATTGTATTCGCAGCTAGTGGTGTAGGCGTGGCGTTGTCCTCAATATTGAAAA